TGAAGAGAAAGAAATGCATTAATAACAAAAATCAGACTGCAGTTTGTTATTTCATTACTTTGGCTGAATCATGTTAAACTGCCTTGTGATGCCTTGGAAAGCAAAACTGGCTACATTGCTTTGATAAGCATATGCAGATATCAACTATATTTAGCTCTCCAACTCTTCCATTAATGAGAAGAGTTTGAAACGGGGGAGCTAAGCGCTGCAAGTAGCCGACAGCTCAGTGTGGGGAGCAGAAAGCAGAGAGAGAAACAGAAATGTATGCCTTTAGTTCTTACCATCTTCAACACAGAGCCTCTAAAACCACACAGGTACACAAAAAAATCTGAATATTTTTCTATAAAAACCTTGGTGCTTTGAGCATTAAGTTTAAGTTATGATACTTCCCAGATATTCATTATTTTACAGACTTTTAGATTAAGTAAATAACATAAATTGTATTGCGAGCCACTACAATAAATCAATATTTATGAGGAATTTTATCAAATGGAGTTACTCATTAAAACTTTTTATCGTGAACCTTAAATTTTTGTAAAGGTGCAGCAGAAATTAGATCTGCGACACTGAATCAAACCCAGACTGTAACTTTGCCGACCCTCATCTCCAAATTGTTCTTTAAAACATTCTCTGTTTATTGAAAATAATGAAATGGGATTTCCTCCCTTGGTTCTTCAGGTGATAGAAGGCTGACTTTGTAATTATCTTTATGTTCTGATGCTGCATCAAATCCTGATGTCTCTTAAAAAGTGGAAGAGGAACCCACCTGCTTTCCTGTGAGCTACAGCTGAGATCGTTCAAGGAGACATTGGACATTTTCTAACGTCTCCATCATTTTCTCTGTAAAGGATGGAGGACAAAGTGGACGAAGAAATTTATTCTACAGTCACCGACATCCAAGACGAACCTTCTCCTCAAAGTAAGTAACTCTAGATATGTTTTATGAGGACTGAAAAGTAGCAGTGCTACCCACGTTGTGTTCGTTTTTCTTTTTACATCACAGATGAGCTTTAATGTCTTTGAATCATCCCAGAGCTCTCTCAGCAAATCAAGTTTAAGACAATTTAAGACCTTCATATGATGAAAACATAAACATGGAGAAGCTATTCTGCTGTGGCATAATAAAAGAACGTAAATACGATTTGGAGAATGGACTTATATTAAACTTATATACCTTATCAAGTTCATTGTTTCTTTCAGGTAAAGAAGAAGAAGATGATGAAGAAGAAGTGCAACAAGCACTCACCAAGTCTCGTCTGTATTTGGTGGGCGGTGTGATTTTATGTGGCATGGTAGCTGCAACAGCTGTCTACAGTGAGTTTCACATTACCACATCCATCCATCCATTCACTGATCTCCAGCTGCGTTCCGGGCGAGAGGCGGGGTACATCCTGGACAGGTCGCCAGTCTGTCGCACCACATTACCACAGTATACTTTGATTATCTTCGTATATGACGAGCTTTTAGGATCTCATCCTTGCTTTTCATTGTTTTAATCCTTTTTTTAATCCTTTCTCATCCTTAAATGTAAAATGATTTCTACATCTTAATCTTATAAATAGCAGTTTTTGGTCTTTGAATTACCGTATTTTGCAGACTATAAGTCGCTCCAGAGTATAAGTCGAACCAGCATTAAAATGCATAATAAAGAAGAAATTACATAAGTCACACCAGAGTATAAGTCGCATTTTTGAGGGGAATTTATTTGATAAAATCCAACAATAAGAACAGACATGTCATCTTGAAAGGCAGTAAAAATAGAATAGGGGCAACAACAGGCGAAATAATTGTACGTTATGCTAATGTTACATGACAAACAACGACCTGAGAACATACCTGGTATGTTAACATATTAAGAGTTATTCAGATAACTAAAGCATACATAACATGCTGACAAGTTTACCAAATCATCCGTGTCACTCCAAATCACAAAACACAATGAAATCTTCATCCTCGGTGTTGTTTTTAAACAACTCTGCTAACTCCAAAGGTAGAATAACAGTCCTGGAGCGCCCTCATGCGGTTAAGTGTGAAAATAACGTGATATCAAATAATAATGTGTTAATTTCCACACATAAGTCGCTCCGGGGTATAAGTCGCACCCCCGGCCAAACTATGAAAAAAACTGCAGCTTATAGTCCGGAAAATACGGTACTCATGTCATACAACATATTTTCCACTAAGTTCCTTTTTAAACAGTTTTTTAAGCTGGTTTATATTTGTACTTTGTTGAACTGCTCATTCAATCAGTTCCATAGATCTTCTCTATACTCTGATAAACAAAAACTCTTTGGTTGTTCTGGTCGCTGGCAGAGTAATGATTATCAGATTCATTCATGCTCACACCTGGTTTCACAAGGCCGCCTTTGTGAATTCCTTCTCATTTTCACAACACACCCGTTCTGGTGCTTTGGGCACAGTTAAACGATTTCAGCTCGCCAAGACAACAGAACCGCATTCGTTCTACCGGGATCTGATCGACCCACTGAATTAGATCAGGCCTCAATGCCTTTCGTTCAATATGGTGTATATATGTAAAGAAGCAAAAAAAATAGTAATAATACAAAGACAAGAAGACAGAAGAGAAAATTAATTAAAATAAAAGTAAAACAAATAAAAGAAGAATTAAAACCACCCATGCAAGATACTCTTGATTTTGACCCAAAACTACACACTCCTCCAAATTTTTCCAAAGTACAGGGTACTTTATTTGGAAAATGATGTCTACCCTATCTGGAGTTTTAACCAACCCCCGGACCCATCCCATCTAAATGTAATCTATTAACCATGGGTTCGTATTGATTCTGATGTTGTCAGATACTCAATCCCCCAAGCACTATAGTCTGGCTGCATGACATTAGACCCAAACACCACACACTATTTCTGAATTTCTCCAGGGTACAACCCGTTTTCCCACGGGGCTTTTTTTTGTGACTTGATCAGTTTCTGCCCAGAGTTTCAACTGTCCCAAAACAACTTAATTACTATCCATGGGTTCTCAACAATGCTTTTGCCAATAATCTTGTAAACCATATACTTTTTACCATTTTAATTTTCTCCAAAACAATACGACAAAGTGAATGTCCCTCTTTCAAAACCTTTCAAAATCTTGGAGGCCAGAAACAAACTTTCCGGCCAGCAATTGAGCTTTGCAGTTTGATATTTTGAAAGCAAACCGGCAGCAGAAATAAAACTTTCTGCCCACCATTTTAGTTGTGCATACACTGTCACCACGGTCTGGGATCTTCCGTGAGGAGGGGTCCTGATCTCAGAAGCCCAAAAACTAGCTTAGATGAGCCCCCAATTGTTGTAGTGCAAACATTTTTATCTCTGTGCACCGTTCAGCTTTGTTTACCAGTTTTGGGACCCCACCGGAACCCCTGGGTGTAAATTACCTTGAGAAATAATGAGATTTGTTTCTGTATAAAACAGGCTTTTAATGCAGAAAAGGATCAAATGTTACAAGTCATAAAAATGACACAGATGGAGTGACATCTGTCTCCAACGTTTATTGAAGATGTTGCTGCTATCAAACTACAGAAATGGCTGACTTAGGGAGAAGAATGCTATGTGACCTGGAGGGGACGGAGCATGAAATGTCTCACTCACATTTATAAAGGCCATATTAAAACAAGTTGCTTTAAAACGCGCTACGAAGTCTGTGGAGCTACAATAACGAGGAATTCAGACCAAAGCATTGCAGTTCTACTTTACATAAGCCGTAAGTCAAGGGTGCCCAAAGTCATCCTCGGGGCCGTCATCTAGCTTGTCTTAGCTCTCTCTGGTTTTACGTACCTGGATCCAACGATGGCTCATTAGAAGGCCTAAGAAGGACATGCACCTGCTGAAACGGTTGTTGCCACCATCAGGTAGAGAACTAAAACCTGCAGGATGCCGGACCGACTTTGGGCACTCCTGCCATAAGTGAATGATTTACATGGGAAAAAAAAGATTTAAAACCACTTCAAGTGGAGGAGTTTAAGGATCTTTGTGTCTTGTTCATGATGGATGGTTAGAAAATCAGCACAATTATTTCAAAACTTCCGACATAAAAACCTTGCTCAGGCATTAAATACTATAATTAGCATAAAAATCTGAGGACACAGAAATGTTGCATACAAACGCTAGTGATTCAAACCCTGAACCTTATGCTGCAAAGAAACAGTTCTACCGCCGTGCAGCCCCAAAAGTAAGAATGTGAAGAAATATTTAATAATTTCACTGTTCTTTGGTAAACTGAGAATACTGTCTGATATCCTGAAAAGATCTGAGAGAGAAACTGAAAGTGTGGTTTCTCCTCTGATACTGAGAGTCACTGACTTTCTGACTATTTTTGTGTGCTTTTATAGTGAGTATAAAGTCGACTGCGCTACAGGAAAGTATCGATGATCTTACAACAGACACACAGAACCTGATGGAGAGAGGATGACGTTGAAGGAAGACATCGAGCATCTGATAGAAGAGAGAGACAGGTTAAACAATTTCTAGATTGCCTTGAACCGTTTTTGACTATTTGTGTTATTTTTAAAATATGGTTCTAATTTTCAGTTATAAGTAGCTGTTCAAAACATTCCTAACCATTATAATCACAGGTCAGTCCTGATGTCTGACAGTAAGGTGAGCCGGGGATTTGGCTGGCTGGAGAAAAATGTACCCATTAGCAACAAGTTTAGAGTAAAGTCTTGATTTCAGAGAATATTGTTGTTTTTGAGAGAACCGAGAACAGAGCCCTGTGGTACGCCACTCTAACCAGAATGGTAGTTTAACTTAATCACTTTCCATTATTGATCTGCACTCTACCTTTGAAGTCTTTGATCAGTTTTGACGAGTGAAACTTTAAATATAGACACTGGGATTTTTATGCTATTTTTGTATAGCATAAAATAGCATGCTATTTTATGCATGCTATATATTCTTTCATGCTATATCAGAAAGAATAATATTCTTTCTGATATTATTTGACCAAAGTTTCATTTCCTTCTGCTCTCTCCCCTTGTCGAATGGAACCAGCTTGTGACTCATGTCCAGCTGACTGGATTCCCTACAACAACAAATGCTACCTGTTTTACGACAGGCCACCTCGTTGGAAGACCTGGGAAGAAAGTCGAAGGATCTGTCAGATTAGACGATCAGATTTGGTTGTAATTGATGATCTGGAGAAGCAGGTAAAATCTAACACTAGAAATCTAAAGCTTATCCCAAAGTTTTTGGAAAATTTGTTGCTTGAAGAAGATTTACGACAATCTAGAAAAATTTGTTCACAGAAATTTGTCGCCAAACACATCAAATACTACTATGATAAAGACCATGGATACTGGATGGGGTTGCAAGAAATTAACAAGACCTGGATCTGGGTTGATGGACGTGTAGACACTCTTGGGTAAGAACTATTATCTAAAAATATACAACCTTAGTAAAATATAAAATGTTTTACAAGTTTGTAGAAGAGTTAAATATACCATACTTTCCAGACTATAAATCGCAGGGTTTTTTTATAGTTTGGCCGGGGTGCGACTTATGTGTGAAATTATTAACACATTATACCACATGTATTCACACTGAACCGCATGAAGCCGCGCGAGGCCTGTGTTAATAATTTCAACATTGGCGGTGTCATGAAGTGGTGTGGAGGAGGTGGTGAGGCAGACACTGGGGGCCCAGGTAAGGTAAGGTGGTGAAGATTTAATCACAAAAAACAGTCCAAAACAACAGTCAACAAACAAGTCCGCGGCCAAGGCAGCAAGGCTGAGCTGAAGCCAGGGCTCGCACCGGTAGCAACTGGTCAAATAGGCGAACAGCACAAGCAAAACATGGACGTCAAACAATGACAAAAACCCGGCGAGGAACAAAGGACACGGGTGGGACTAAATACACTGAGGGTAATCAAGGGAACAAGACACACCTGGGAGTAATCAAGGGGAAGACAGGACAACGAGGAGAACTCAGGACACGGAGAAACTCAAATAAACACAACAGGCGGTAACTAATTCATAAAAACCGAGAAGGGCTTAGCAAAAATGGCACTGTTGGAACTATTTATTCTTTATCCATTTCAATTTCGTTTATTCTTAAACTTCTATTTTTTGTATTATTTACAGAGTTTATTTGCAGGTTAATAATTGTTGATTTTATTATTATTTTTTTATATGTCATTTATCTTATTTATTCTTTTTGTAGTCAGATGGGAAGTAAAGTGGGTCGGTCCGCTTTCTAAAATGTAGGGCTTGGTAAAGGACCAGCAGGCATTTGGGTTTAGGGCCTATGGTTTTTACCAGAGCAAGAGAAATAGATAGGACAGAGGTCGGCAACCCAACATGTTGAAAGAGCCATATTGGACCCAAAAAACGAAAAGCAAATCTGTTTGGAGCCGCAAAAAAGTAAAAGCCATATATAAGGCTTTTATATAAGGCAAAACAGGCTCTAGGTGTTTATATTAGCGTATTATCAAAATGACTAAGTGTATACAAAATTAGTATTCATGATTAAATGTTTATTTTCCCTGTAGTGCGTCCTGGAAGGAATGACGCATCACGTGACTCTTCTGTTGTACGATGGTGCTTTATGTTAACCTTCTGTTACAACATGAATGCATTTACAAAATTAAAGAAACACAATAAAGAAATCAGATTCTTGATATTATTTTTATTATGAAGAGCGACAGGGAAAGTGTCATTATTTTCCCTTTTTGGATCACAGAAAATCTGCCCCCAGTTTGCATAACGACGATCGCTCTTTGTGAATAATCACCGTTAAGCGTGTGATCAAAAAAACAACAAACGGAGTGTAATAAAACGGCAGCCTTTTGAAAACGTAAAGTATATAAAATCAATAGAGTTCAATTTATGTGCAAATGCCAAGCAAATCAGTGCAATAGTAACACACAGCAGCCATGAGCAACCCGACCTGAGCAACGACACAAAATAATGAAAAAAACAACACTAAATGTATACTGATGAAAATTACTGGATTGCTTATTGATGTATGTTTTCAGTTTTTTTTTTTTTTTTTTCCAAGTTTCGGCTTTCATTGAGGTGCGCTCCAGTTAGTTATTTGACAACTTGTCGCTGCAGAGTGAACATTCAGGCAATCCTTCCACACTGGCAACGAATGCAGAGGATTCGGTCCAAGAATTGTATCATTGAATGTTTCTTCTACACATTTTATAGCATTGGAAATCGTTAAGAATGATTGTGTCGTGTTTGTCCTCCTACAGAAACCATAATAAACCAAAAAATATATTTCCCAGCCCCATCTTTTCCCATTTTCAAACATTTTTGATGAAGCTCCAAAGAGCCACTAGGGCGGCACTAAAGAGCCACATGCGGCTCCGGAGCCGCGGGTTGCCGACCCCTGAGATAGAAAAACAAAGAGAAGTTTGAATGTTGTAATTGCTTGCTGAAAAGGAAAATATAAGCAACCAAGACAGTCAACAAGTTTGGACATTAAACTTCCTTTGGCTGCGTGAAGAATCTTGACTCCAGTGTTGTATAGTGGCTGATGAAAGTTTTTATTGGTTTGGTTTGACAACAATCGCCACTAGACACACCAAAAGGTAAATTATATTCTGCAGATTACAAGCTGCAAGTAGTAAAATATGCAGCCGAAAACAGTAATCGAGCAGCAACAAGAAAGTTTGGAGTTGGCGAGAAACTTGTAAGGGACTGGCAAAAACCAGAAGTTATTCTTACTGAAATGAAGAAAACAAAAAAAAAAAACAATCGCAAGCTAAAGCTAGGTGGCTCATGGGTGCTTGAACAATATGCTGTCATGCTGCAGGAGGACCTTCTTAATGTTATCACTCAGCAGTCTGAGATTCACTGTCCATCGCTGGGCGTCACTCAGCTTAGGGCTGACACCAAGTAAAGCAAAGATTGTAATGCGAGTTTAGCTTTATTCTACTCCTCATTTTGAACCCTAATCAGTCCAATTAGTCATTTGTTTATGTGTGTCGCAGTCTTGTGTGATTATGGTTATGTAAGCAGCAATGTGCATGTAAGCAGATAAATGACATAGATGACTCATAATCCATAACACTATTTTTGTTGCTTAATATAGCTAAGAGCAAACTGCAGCTGGGTTTTCTTGTGCCTTTGGGTCAGTGGTGCTGAAGGTGATTGAGTTCAGGCATGGAGACCTTCAGTCCTCAGTCTGTCCTCACTGTGGGACCTGAACCCTCTGGCTGATGCCACCAAGCCTTGCTGCTGGTCTTTTGCAGTCAGTCGATGGTTTTTGACCAGCTGCCTCCTTGGGAATGTGGGTGAGGGCCGTCATTGTTACATCAGGAAGATCAAGATAAAACAGCTGGTTTACAAAGGCAGGCCCATCTGAAGACATCTGTTCAGAGGGACGAATCATTTTAACCCTTTAACTGGCCACTCAACCATATGGTTTAGCACATTTTGGGTCTCTATCTCCATATGAGGAGTGCCTAAGTTAGCTTAACCTCATTGAGCCATCTCTGTCGCTTGGTTGAGGTACGATATGCTAAAGAAATCCACTACAGGGCTCTGCTTCTTTAAATAGTATTCTTCTACCCCTCTCCAACCAGGAAGTCAGAAACACAAAAAATCTGTCACAAATATTGACTGGTTGTGGTAAAACTTTGAAAGGCAAGAATAGTTTTCTGGCATATTATAGTGTTCTAGACATTATTAAACAGAATTATGTTACTTGATACCACCTAAAAAGCTAAATTAAAGGTCTAATAATTTTTTCAAAATATGCTTGACCAAACGGTTGATTTGTCACTTGATGCTAAATGTAGCAAATCAAGGTAATTTAGTTAACTTTTTTTTTTTGGTATAAAATCAAAAGTCATTTTCATCTATTGGTGTAAATAGGAAACAATAAGTGTTATTACAATGTTATACACTAAGAATAATTATAACATCATCCATCCATCCATTTTCTGGTTACCCTTCTACCTAACGCGGTCGGGAGTTGCTGGTGCTTCTCCAGCTGCGTTCCGAGCGAGAGGCGGGGTCATCTGGACAGGTCACCAGTCTGTCGCAGGGCACACAAACACAAACAGGACAAACAACCACACACACACACACACACACACACACACACACACACACACACACACACACACACACACACACACACATCTAGGGAGAATCTGGAAAGCCCAATCAACCTGACAGTCATGTTTTTGGATTGTGGGAGGAAGCCGGAGAACCCGGAGAGAATCCATGCACGCACAGGGAGAACATGCAAACTTTGTGCAGAAAGACCCCGGGCCGGGAATCGAACCCAGGACCTTCTTGCTGTATAACATCATCTTACAAAATAATTTTTGTAATAATTTCTTCCTTTGGGAGCAAAAGTGGTGCCAACACTCTGCAAAACGATAAAAGAGCCCCAGATGTCTGTTGTCTTTTGTGACAACTTCTTTACAAGTTTCAACTTGGTTCAGTACCTGCACACTGCCCTTGGTGTCAAGTGTATCGGCACCGTATGACCGAACTGCACTGGTGGAGCTCCATTGATGACAAAGTCCTGATGCAAAGGGGTCGTGGGACCTGTGACTTTAGGGCTGCTGAAGGGGTTCCTCCAGTGAAGTGGTTGGATAACAAATGGGTCATCTTGCTTAGTAAAGCCTATGGGATCATGCCCTTTTCAACAGTGAAACACTGAAAAACTGTTGCACTTTAGTACAGAAAAAATCAAGATGGGAAAACTAAAAATGCAATATTTCCTTGTTCGATGCAATGTTTTCCTTGGTTGAAATTAAAACTAGTGTTGTGTAGCATTTTGACAAACATAAACTGTATCCAATGCCCCAGACATTTTGTTGTTGTTAATTTCTTTATAAATTTGCATTTTATTTTAATTTATCTACTGTACTAGGTATTTTTATTACATCATGTACTTAAACCTTTAAGTGACATCTCAACCATTTGGTAGAGATCAATATTTTAAAAACCACAGGGTCTGTTGAAAAAAAAAATATTGATTGTGTTTATGAGTCACCCAAGGGTAAAAGAAATACAAAGAAAAATTTTCACAGGTTTTTTCTTGGTGTGGTTGTAATACTGTCATTGAAAGTAGAATTTCATGTTGAATTTGGATCAAATACATTTGTTAGATTAATTCTACTTAAGTAGATAATTTGTTAAAAACTTATAAAAGTTTCTCAACAGTTTTAGATGCAATTGTGAAAACAATAACATCTAAATCTGTAAAGTACATACAACTCTTAATTTAATACTAGTCTGGCTTCTTTTTTAAATACTTCTTATTGGTATAGAGACAAAACATGTAGATGCTGCCAGTTATCAGTTTGATGTTAGTGGGCTGCTGTGTGATTTTATTTTATGTTCTGAGGTTAATGTTTCTGTTTTCAAGGTTCTGGATAAAGGAGAACTTCACCATTCTGCAACCAAAAGTTCTGGTGGTTCCAAGACTAAATCCCTCAGAGAGCTGGAAGAAAGAAATGAATGAGTTTCAGAACAAATTCATCTGTGAGCGTGACGCTCGCAAGCCTTAATGTAACTGACTGTTCTCTTAATGTTTCATGCAGGAATATCAATTGTGTCATGTGTATATACAATGCATTTCATCATGACTTTCATCAAATGCTGGTCATGTGATGTCGTCATTCTTATTGTTTATTCTTATTGTTTTTGAACTCTCACTTGATGAACCTTACAGCTGCTTTCCACTTCTCATTGGACACACTGAAACTAGGAGGGCTTTGTCAAGAAAATCCGAGATCATCCTCTTCCCCATGCTGGAGATTTTAGTTAACAGTAACAATAAATAAAGTTACCTTTAAAATAAGTCACACAAATTACATCTAGACCCAACAGTAGGCCCAGACTGCAATATAAAAAATCTGGTTGTGTATGTTGTTTTTATCTCCTGCAAACTCAGCTTTCATTATACTTATTTTTTCTATCTAATCATAAGAAATTATAGTCAGAGAGAGAGATGAGACAGGAAGAGCAGGTTTCCTGGAAAAAGAGGAAGTAAGTTCCAGCTTGCAGCTGTAAAAAAATAGCTGAGACCAGTCCTTGTTTAAAAGCATAAACGTTTTAAAGGATAAAATCTAAACATTTTGAGTAATTAGATAAGATTTAAAGTAAAGTACTTATATTAATATTGGTTTACTTATAACAATATTTACACTTGTGGGAAAACTTACAAGTAAAACAAGTAACTGTAACTTTGGTATCAAATAAGAAAAGAGTAATAAGTTGTGATTATCATAAAATTATAAATTAATGCTAAATTAAGAAACTAAAAGGTTTATGAATGTGATTTTAACATTGAACTTGAAATGGTGTAAAACATGTAACTGCTATTAAAGATCACTGATGATGTGTTGGAGGTGGACAGTAGGTGAAAGGTCAGGGGTCAAATGGGCACTAATGGGAAAGCAGAGATGACCAAGACCTTATTAGGAGATAGCTTGTTGAACAACTTAAACATGTCAGAGACATGGGAGGAAGATTGAGCAACCCTGAGACATTAGCCAAGACCTCAGGACAAAATGTCTCTAAGACAGTGATGGATATGAGTTTATCTGTCCAAACAGTTACCCAATAAAGCACAGCAACAGTGTTAGCCAATGAAAATGCACTGAAAGCGGGTATAAACCCTATATAAGGGGAGAGCAAAAGAGGAATCTTTGGTTGGATCCTACAGGCAGCTTCGAGTCAAGACCGAGATGGACAAAGAACTCTGCAGCTGAAGAAGAGCCGGGGCCACAGGGACGAAGACTGGCCTGCGCACGGGACCAACCCATCAGCCCCGCAACATGTGGCTTCAAATCGGACTTCTCTCATCAGCTGGGTTCAGACCCCAAGGACAAAGATGAAGACCAAGATGAAGATCAAGACAAAGACCAAGTCCTGTGTGACCTCATCATCCATGCAGAGATGACAGCTCATCAGACCAACAGAGATCCCTGCCTTCATCAATCAACCTCCTCTTCCTCCTGCTACAACACCTTCTTCATCATCGATCCAGTTCTGGGGTTCGAGACATCAAACTCCGTCCGTCTCTCTAAAAGGTTCCCTTTTTAGTTCTTAGTATCAGCGTTAGGGAAAGATAGGCTAGATGATTTATTTTACTTATTTGATTATTTCTGCTACTGAATTAAGCTGTACTGACCCTTGCAAAATTGCTTTACTAATAGAATATTTAGCATAAAGGAAATCTAAAAGATGTTGTGGACATTCAATTAATGAGTCGCCTCAAAGTTCTTTGATGGTAGTAAAATAGCTGTGATGTTTGATTCTGGGGAGGTAAAGTAGGTAATGTTTTATAGGTTGCTTTAGCCCAAATTTAAAACAACATCCTTGGGACTCGCCCGAGTCACTAAAACCAACCTGATTCAGTAACAAGTGCAAGTCGTATAAAAGAGAAGGAGCGACCGTTAACAGATGTGCTCTGTGGAACTAGTTGGCTGTATGCTGCTCAGTCTGGCTAATTCACAGGGGGAAGAAGGGTGGCACATCTGGAAGTAGGCCGTTAGTAGTCAGGCGAATCCTTTCTGGAAACCAGCTTAAACAGAGTTTACTTCAGTTCTGATAGGGTAAATCCCAGCAGATTTAGGAAACTCAATTTACCCGTTAGATGGAGAGCTGGTAGCACACATCTCCCCTCTCAGAAGAGGAAGTAGTGACTGAGAGAATAGAGAGTGAAGGGGTGGGGGGCCTGTGTGGATCATAGGATGCGTCTTACAGCTTGAAGAAAACTTAAATATGAACAAATGTATCTTCTAACTACCCGTATGAAACTTAAATATTCACAAATTTAGTGAATTTGTAATTAGTAATTAACTACTAGGTGGTGCAAAGGTTGGAATGTATATAACTGTTAGAAATATTAAAAAAGCCTGTGAAAATCTATGAAATAATTAAATAAAATATAAACAAATGTATCTTCTAACGACTCGTATGGAACTTAAATATTCACAAATTTAGCTGATAATTTGGCAACCTTTGCACCACTTTAGGTGGTGCAAGTATACTTAAACATTTGCCTTTAGGTATGATAATAAATGTGACTTTATTACTCGAAAATAAGTATGCAAGTAAAATGTACTGCCACCTGCAGGTGGGAAGTGGCATCACTTCAAACCAGTGACTTGACTATTTTTATATGTATAAAACTAAAATATAAACAAATGTATCTTCTAACGACTCGTATGAAACTTAAATATTCACAAATTTAGTGAATTTGTAATTAGTAATTAACTACTAGGTGGTGCAAAGGTTGGAATGTATATAACTGTTAGAAATATTAAAAAAGCCTGTGAAAATCTATGAAATAATTAAATAAAATATAAACAAACGGAGACCATAGAGCATGCGCTCTGTGAGCTCTCATGATCTATTTTATTTATTCGCGGATTAAATAAATATAATTCTAAATTAAATAGAGTAATAGCCACTGCAGTGTGTTAAGACTTCCTAAAACAAAAACTACTGCTCTCACTGAGACTCGAGTCCTCTGTTCATAGTGTAAAACCTTTTAAAGAATCTAATTGTTAGTAAACGATCTCATTGCTTTTCTTCGCGTTTTGTAATTTACGCGACTGTTTCTGTTCCGCTGGAGAAATCTCGCTGTCTGCGGTTGTAACCTAACAACGGCTTGAAAAGAGCACCTACGATGTGCACATCCGCCTGGAGTGCGCAGCGGTCCGCTGTTTGATAGAACACTGGCTGGAGGCGGAGGGATCCGCTCGTCAGTGCAGCGGTCCTGACTGCGAATCCGTCCCGGAGGCCTCGGCTGTCGGGGGTCGGTGAAGAAGCTGATTTCTGCTTTCACAGGTATGTCCAGTTGGCAACTTATAGGTACCACTGTTAAAAGTGTTTGTAAGTCCAGGATAGTTTGTTTCATTTTAACTTACGTTGACACAATTGTGAGTTTTCATGCAAACGGCAGTCAACAGTTACGACCCAATTCCTCTACAAATGTGCTAACGTTTAGCATTTCGAGTAACAGTAGTTCGCATTCAGACTGGCGACAGTTAACAGTGTCATGTAGGCTTGCCAACTGACCCGTATTAGCCGTCACATCCCGTATTTTAAACCAAATTGAAGTCCTCTGTACCGGACGCTGTTTGTCGTGTTTGACTGCAATTTGTGTTGACAAGCACTAGATGGCGCTCCGCTCCTTACAAACCGAGACATCGATAAATATATGAAGTCAAAAGCGCGGGCAGCTGTGCTTCATCTGCCAAAGGCTTTTCCTATCAAAGTCATAGCTAATTCAGACACATTTACTTTGACGATAAATTTGTAGAAATCTGCAAACTAAATTAGTTTCTATAACTGCAAAATGAAATGGGTTAAACATGTTCGTGGCTAAACGAGAGTCTGAACTTCTCTGAAGGTTTAGAATATCACTGCCTTTGATTAATACCAGTTATTGTTAATCAAATGCAACTCTCAACAGGTGGTTGTTAAGCCTTGATGTAAATGAACTCAATGTTTCAACTGTTGTACAGTTTTCAGGAAGTTTGTTCCAGATTGGTGGCGCATAGAAGCTGGATGCTGCCCCTCCATTTTTGGTCCAGGGGATGCAGAGCAGACCAGAACCAGAAGATCTTTAATGTATTTTGATGCTAAATCATTCAGTACTTTAAAAACTAACAAAATTATTTTAAAGTCTATTCTCTTAGCTACAGGGAGCCTTTGTCAGGGCTTTGTAGCTGGGGTGATGTGCTCTATCTTCCTGGTTTTAGTCAGAACATCAGCAGCAGCGTTCTAGATCAGCTTCATCTGGAGGATTGATTTTATTATTTCTAAACAGACCCTTTCAGTAATCAGTGTGAAATGCATGGGGAATTTCTCTAAATCTTTCTGCAACATTAGTCCTTTAACCCTGGAAATGTTCTTTGCATAGGTTGAAATCCCGAGGGCCTTGGTGAGTGCGGACCCCCTCAATCTAGGAAAAGTCTAGAACCCCCGGAAAAAAATCATACAAGAAACCTTGTATTTAAACAATATTAATATGAAAACGTAAAAAACAAAGAACGAAACAAATCTGACATTCACCAAAGAAAAAAATATTTTTTTATGTCCCCCCCTCCTGCAACTCTTAGAGTAATGGTTTAGTCCAAAGTGTAGGAGGAGCAACAAAAGCCCTGTGGCACAGGGTCAGTCAGTCATTGAAGTCAAGAGGTAGTTGTGGCTCTGCAGCACAAACAAAAATCCCTCCAGTCAGTAAATACTGAAAGCAAAAGACATGCAAGACCTTTAGCTTGTTTTCACTGCTGAAGAGAAAGAAATGCATTAATAACAAAAATCAGACTGCAGTTTGTTATTTCATTACTTTGGCTGAATCATGTTAAACTGCCTTGTGATGCCTTGGAAAGCAAAACTGGCTACATTGCTTTGATAAGCATATGCAGATATCAACTATATTTAGCTCTCCAACTCTTCCATTAATGAGAAGAGTTTGAAACGGGGGAGCTAAGCGCTGCAAGTAGCCGACAGCTCAGTGTGTGGGAGCAGAAAGCAGAGAGAGAAACAGAAATGTATGCCTTTAGTTCTTACCATCTTCAACACAGAGCCTCTAAAACCACACAGGTACACACAAAAAAATCTGAATATTTTTCTATAAAACCTT